TAAGCTTTAACATTTAAGTCATTGTTAGTGTAACATTTTATAGTTTTTGCTACTCGAAGATTGCTATCCTGCTAGGAGAATTACGGAATAACTAACACCAGTGAATATTCTGAAAGATCATTCCGAAGAAATACACCATACCTATGGCCTTCGCTCCATACTACTGAAGATCAAATAACCGGAGAGAAAAAAATTGTAACAAGAAACTGTAGGAACAAATCAACCAGAAACTGATTGCTCAACAAATATGTGGGAGAAAATGGAGATGGGTTGAGAATACATTGAGGAGGCCACCGAATGACATCGCACGCCAGGTCCTCGAGTGGAATCCCGATTAGAAGAGATGATGAGTGGATCGTCCTAGGGTGACATGGAGAGAAGATCATGTAAGGAAGAGATGAGAGAATTTTGTCAATCGTAGACCCAGCTGAAGAGGATGGTAGAAAATAGGATAAATTGGAGACACGTGTTGTTGACGCCGTATGTTCCACTCGGAACCCAAGGGAACAATAATAATCATAATCGTTACTAAGATGATTTCACACTACACTCAGTAGAGGATATCAAAATACCACTAAGTATGCATTGGTGAGAGATGCGAATACAACGCAGTAAGATGTGAAAAAAACCAGTAACACGGATTCCAAGTCCTAAAAGGGATATAAATCCCTATTTCACACTACAGATAAATCTAATGAACACAAAACCTAGGCAGTGATATCTGTGGACTAAAAGCAATCAAACGTTCACCAGGATGATGAATCTCAGCTTGGTGGTTATAGTTCCATTATGCGTAAATTTTGTTTTGATAAAGTTTCACAGGGTTATACAGTAATGTTTACTGATGACCACGTTTCGGGCACAATTTATTGCCAATCATAATCATATCAAGGTAATCACAAGACATTCTAACTTCATTTATATAGTTCCATTGTTTTCCACTTGATTTGATTGGTTGTAGTATTTTCCATATTGCCGGTATGAATGCATGTGTAGACTCGACGAACAAGGATTCAGTAATCAATCTCTCTCTCCCCCTACCTAGATTACTTTACACATATATTACTGTTTAGAATTTTAACTCTCTCCCACCCTTTTGTGTAGTTGTGTGTTAGTGCATGCATTGCAATTGCTGAGCTTTTTTCTAAATTACTTATCTTCTCGGGATCAACCATTTTCACCTTAGCTAAATTCTTATGTTCCGACAATCTGACTACCCCTGACCTACTAGTTTGACCTATATAGTTGACCTCACAGCCATTGCAGGGTATTTTGTAAATTATATAATTTTGTCTAATTGGTTCAACTGGGTCCTTTAACCTACAGAGTTTGTCGCTGCCTGAATGAGTTTGTAGGTTTAAGTGCCACCCTAATTCTTGCTTTATCTAGAATCCTACTTAGGGTCTCAGATGTCTCCTCTTTATATGGTAAAACAGTATATGACTTATATTCTCTTTTATTTATGTTGTTATTACTAGTTTCACAATTATTTTTCTTTTTCTTTTGGCCTTTTTCAATCTTCCTAATGAATTTTATACAATAGTTATTTAACACCAACTCCTGTTCAATCTGTTTTATATCATCATTTAGGTCTTTACTTGTGCTACTTAGTGTTATTGGGGCGGTTATAATGCAAACACTATTGGTCGAATTCAGTAAATACTCTAGATTAAAATTAAAAACAGATCAAAATTTAGGCTTCAGTGAGCATTACTTAGTTTTCAGATAAGGTAACGATGACACAAATGTTAAAACTGAAATCTTCTTATCATATAGTTGATTTTTCTTTGATTACAGCTTGATTCCACACCGTATTTTTTGTATAGGCATGGAATTTCCAGCATGTGATATCGGTAGCCCAAATTTTGCAGGTCGACCATAGATATCAGACAAGTGTCGGTAGAGGCTCGAACCCCGGACCATGTGCATGGTCGGCGAGAGTCCTAACCACTGTGCCACCGACGCACATATTAATAATACAGAGAAACACAGAAATCGGGTAGATTTATGAAAACTTTAGGAGATTACTTTGTACGAATTAATCAGGAGTCTTAAAAGACAATCAAAATTAATTAATGATTAACAGAAAACGGGTGACATATCTTTATAATCGATTTCAGTAGACCAAAAACTTTATACATTTAACACATTGAAAGAAAGGATGGCACGGATGCTCCACAAAAACTGTATATAAACATATTTACAAAACAGTGCCAACATTAAAAGCAGGTAGTTAGTGAAATTTGAATCAAGCAAGAACAACAGTGGTTTGTGCAGAATAATATGGTACCCATCATTTATTTCATTGGCTTCTCATCAGCTGCAGCTTACAGCCTAAATAAATTATGAGGTTTATGTACAGAGAAGTTTTAAGATACTTGGAAATTTTACATGTTGTCAGTTGACAGAAAGTTCCACAATTAGTGAATAGTGCTCAAAAAATTGCGCTTACATAGTTTTTACACAGGCAATAAATGTATGCATAGAATAATAAAGCAGTTACGTAATTTGTTTAAATTTGAACTGCCTGTGTACAACTAGATAAGCGCAATTTTATGAGCACTGTTCACTAATTGTGGAACTTTCCGTCAACTGACAACATGTAAAATTTCCAAGTATGTTAAAAATTTTCTGTATATAAACCTCATAATTTATTTAGGCTGTAAGCTGCCGCTGATGAGAAGCCAACAAAATAAATGATGGGTACCATATTATTCTACACAAACCACTGTTGTTCTTGCTTTATTCAAATTCACCAAGGAGAATAAATGCATGTAGTTAGTGAAACGATATCCCCTAGCCCTTCACTTATGTGTATAACACTCGTTGGAACTGATAAACTGAGTAATTTTTTGAAAAACAGATAAACAAACATAAAAAATTATGATTAAGAGATACAGATAGCTTCTCATAAGAAAACCAGATGCCAGTATCAAAAGAAATTTTCATTAAAACAAAGGTAAATAGGCAGGACAATGTGTACATTGTCATAGCTTTGTTCCTCCCATGCACAAAAGATATTAAGTAAGCGTAAAACTTTGGCACTGTGGTAGTAAGTAATTCCATATCAGTTTGTTTATTAGATGCATCACACAGTGAAATAGTATTATTTACTGGATGACGTTCCGAACAAAATTTATTGTTCATAGTCATCTCGTCAATTATAATCACACGACTTTCAAACTTGAGTTTTATAGTTTTCTTTGTCTTCCCCTATTTGTCATCGTCATTAGGGTAGTAGGATTTTCCAGATATCTGGGACAGGTGTTGAATCATTCCTATTACATGTATTCTCCCCAGTTGATTCGATAAACAAATCTTCTGTTATCAATCTTTCACTCCACCCTGTGACATTAGATATTAAAGACTGTCATCCTATCCCCTCCTATTGTATGGTTGTGTGCAACTGCATGCAGTGAGTGCTATCGCTGAACTATTCTCCACATTTCTTATCTTATTCGGGTCAACCAATCTAGATTTTGCTAGGTTTTCATGTTCGGCTAGTCTGACTGACTGGCCCCGTTGTACTACTTTGACCCATGTATTTGACTTGACAATCATTCCAGTAGGCTATGAGATAAACTAAATTGTTTTGTTTTATTGGCTCCACCAGCGGGATCCCTTAACCGGCAAAGCTTGTTTCTAATTGAGTTTCTGGGTGGTGTGAATGCCAGCCACTTTTATTCCTGCCTTGTTAAGAATTCTGCGTAAGGTGGTTTCCGAGGTTCCTTCCGTGTATGGAATTACTACTGATGGTTTAGATTCCTTATTGTTGGTGTCGTCATTATTATTATCACTATCGCTACTATCATTATTTATTTTATTTTTACATTTCCTTACATATTTCCTGACTAATTAATACGGGTAATTATTAAGTTTCAAGGCTTCTTTTATGTGCATCGCTTCCTGTCTTAGATTTTCCTTGGTACTACTTAGTTTTTGTGCTCTGTCATCTGAGGAAACCATAAAACTCAAGTTTCAAAGTCGTGTGATTATAATTGATATGATTAAGAACAATAAATTTTGTTGGAAACGTCATCCAGTAAATAATACTGTTTCACTGTGTGATACATACAGTAAACAAACTAATATGGATATTGAATAAGGACTCTCAACTACACGAAATCCGAGCTATTTGTTCAGAAAATTAGCGAAGATGAACTTGAGGTTGTATATGACAGCATCTGCTAACAAGAAGCCTGAATATATGTGTAAAAGACTGTAAATCATAACCAACAAGTGGAAAACATCGATTCAAAGAACTTTTAATGCTTGTAAGCTACAGATCTTATTTTTTTCACACGACCAGTTGTGATTTCTAAAGTGAAAGACAAAGTACCTAGGGGCTGGCAACCTCTTTACACATGTATCTTCCATTTGAATTGCTCCTGTCGAGCCAGTTATATGGGTCGTTGATCTAGGAACTTAGATTTTCGTACTTGGGAACACTTATCAGTGTGGCTATATAAAAATGAAGTAAAAACCACTATTAGTTCAATCAGTTCGACACCATCTGGTTCTCAAGTGGGTCATAGAGGCATTGAAAAATCTTTTTCTATCATCTATACAGGGTAAGCAAATAATTTGCCAAAAGCTTCTAGATACTAGCTACTCTTAACACACGAGAGGCTTAAAAAGACAACCGGAGCTCTGTGTGTGCACAAAAACGTGCTACCCTATCCTGCTGTGGAACCTATAAATCCACAAACTATGTATTATTTTTCCTTACTTATCTGATATTTACTTTCGTGTTATGTTGGTTCATATGATGGTATAAATATGTTTTAAACTGTAATCTAGTGATACTACTGATTCGATGATATTTTAAAATAAAATAAATGTTGTCAATAACAATAATTCTTTAATTATTATGGACATATAGCTATAGAACCTGATAAAGAAGTTATCGAAGAAAAATATTCTATGTTCACTACACTATTCAATCTTTTAAAAATCAGAAATTAACCAAAATGAAAAATAAAATCATAATTATAACTGACTGTTTCATCAATAGTTGACCGATGTATCCAACCATCCGATTCTGGAATACGTGACCGGTGAAGAATACGATAAAAATCACAGTTGACTGAATTCCAACTAATCAGTACAGCTAAGTTATCTCCAACAGTTGTAGCATTCGGTTTTCTTAACCGATCATCTATGAGAAGAAAAAACGACAGATATCAAAGAAAAATTACAGGAATAAGAATTTAGCAGAGTTAACAAGCTTAGAAAATAGAAAATTCTACTTGAATTTATAACAATAAATAATTGAAACAGGCTTTGTATTTCTTTTTTTTTCTTCACGTTTCTGTAGCAGTATTTATTTTTACAGGATAAGGTTGCTAGCCTCATGCCCAAACTTTCCTCTTTACCAGAATTAGTCCTGATTTAGCGAGGTAAAGGAGTGCGTTGGCGGCCGGGAATCGAACCCCGAACCATGTCCATGGTCGGCGAGCGTCCTAACCGCTATGCCACCGACGCTCTTTGTCTATTGATAAACTTAAATAAAGCGTTAAGAAGACAAATACTGCGAATTGATGTCATCATTTTATAGATTCAGTACAGTTGCATTACAAATGGCATGATACATATAAAAAAATAAAATGTTAGCTAATTACTCAGTTAGATAAGATATCTCACAAGTTGCATCAGCCTCAGTGGAAGGATCGCTGACGAAATCTCAGCGCGGATATAAACGGCCCGAGCGGTATTTGAAAAATCACGTCATCTCTGTCGAAGACGTGATATTCGACTATCGATCGGAAGATGCGTTCACTGAGCAGCAGTTCACCCTGTTTTATTTCATGGGTTTTACGATATGAGGACTACCTACCTTTGATTACAGATGCTTCAGTTCTATCCTCCGTGTTAAGTGGTATGATATAGTGAGTAACAGTGAGATTAGGCGTAGACTGCTAGGTAAGGAGGATGAGTCAGGTCGATGAGATTGTAAAGTTACACCAGTTGGTATAGCTAAGGAAATAGGTTACGCATGCCTAGGCACCGCATTCCCTGACTAGTAGTAGTATTGCTTGACAAATGATCGTGTTAGCAAATAGTTAGAAGTGGTCAAGTCAACATCTGGTACGAATCCATGGAGAGGGAGGTTTACACTGCCTGCTTCGGATCCTGGGGATGCTAAGAACTAACGACCTCAGACTTTTTAGTGATATAGCTAATAGTCGTTTTCAATGAATCACATGTATTCACTCTTTTTTCACCCGTATGCATTAAACCCTTATATTTTCCCATATTATTATCCTTTTTGACGTAAATTTCCGCTCACTATAATTCTTTTGAAGTTTTCCCTTTTCTTTATGGGAACTTGAACTTGTATATCTCTGTGGAAAGTTCGACACTGAAACTCAGCCAGCCAGTATATAAAACAAAAGCCCATATTCATAATCAATCGTGTTTTAATAGGTCAAGGGTTCACAGTTTGAGATGCATGTGAATAATCCAAAGTGTTTCAATCACTAACTTTAAAGTTATGTGAAAAAAAATCTGAACTGGCAAAAGTTAGAATTCATGAACTGACCATTGGATTGGGTCCTCGTGGCCTAATGGTCTACAAGTTGGCCTTGTGACCAGAAGGTTTTTGGCTCGAAACCTGGTGGGTGCGTGGCGATTAGGAGTCCCAAACTAGGTTGGCGAAACAGCCGTCCAGTACTCCGTGCAGGTTTTCCAATGGTTCTCCAAATAATGTCAGCTCATAATGAAATCCTCCAACCAATTAACAATAAATACGTATTTTATCTCCTATAGGTATCAAAGGTGATCAGTTGACCCTATTTGGATATAAACAACAGACCGGTATTTACTTATAATAACCCCATGGTTTCCGGTTCAAATCTTTCTGTCGTCCAAGTCTTCAAACATCCTCCTCTTAAATGCACCACAATGTTCATATGCATACTTATAATGTCTACAAGTTTGTGTCACCATAAGCCATAGATCCAATTGAAAGTATTATAATTTACAATAACCCATATATAATTTACCCATAGAAAATATGTATTATCAGAACACCATCTATCTTTTAGAAAGCCACATAAAGTACAACTAACTTTCGATGACTAATATTCATAAGTTATCGTTAGAAAAATTTAGCTTTTTGTAAACTATTATTCTATACAACTTAATATATACTGGTAACATTGTACTTGATGATCAATGAGTGTATACTTACACGTATTTCTTGTAGAAGATAAATTCAAGATATCCAAGGAAGTGATTTGTCCAGAATGCAAAGGCCATTCATTAATTCTATGCGCTTGGCTACGACGTACACGATGTAATGGAATTATTGGTGTTTGGTCAATATTCAGTATATTATTTTGACGTGAAGATTTTTCCAGTAATCTCTTCGACCAATTCATAAATCTACCATTGAGCTGGTTAACTTGTTTAGAACTATCTACTAGGAACATATAATAAGAAAATGAAACGCCTTTTTTTATTTAGACTATAAAATTGTAAAACAACTGCACATTTCCATCACAATATATCACATATTCACGAATTTCACACACAGAAGATACATAATTGAGAAAAAATTGCTCATATCCTGGTAGTAATCACCAAATTACAACAAACTGATTAAAAAGCTTTCTGAAAGTATACACAATATGTTCAACATTGAGGTGTAAATGAGAATACAATTCAGGGGAATACGGTAGTTTATGATTTTTTTTTTGACTACAGCTTGATTCCACACCATATTTTTTGGTACAGGTATGAAATTTTCAGCATGTGATATCGGTAACCCAAATTTCGCAGACCGACCATAGATATCAGGTGTGCGTCGGCAGGGAATCGAACCACGGACCATGTGTATGGCCAGTGAGAGTCCTAACCACTGTGCCACCGACGCACAGCTGAACAGTTGCAGAACAATGTTATTTAATAAAAAAAGAAGAGAAATATGCTGTTATATTTAATGGGGGTCGTCCGAGGGTGAAATGGAGGAGACGGTGAGAGGAGGAGACGAGAGATTATGGGCAATCGTAGGGCTAGCCAGCTAAAGAGGACAGCAGAAAATAGAACAAAGTGGAGATGCGTTGTTGAAGCCCTATGGGTTCCACTTGGAACCCAAGGGAATAATAAAAATAATACTGGTGACGTTTCCAGCACAATTTATTGCTCGTAACTAAATCAAGGCACTTACATATTAAAGGAGAAAGAAGATCCCCCCGCCACAGCTCCATCCTAGAACACTTGATCGAATCCGGACACCAAGCAAACCCACAAAACAACTTCTCAGTTATCTACACAATACGTGGAAATCTTGCCAAAAGAGTACGAATTAAACTTCTTCAAACTGCAGAAGCAATGGCAATTCACATATTGAATCCTGAACTCTGCATACAAAAGAAGTTTGTTCAGTCACTAAATCTACAATGGTCCTGATCTATCTTAACACCAAATACGTAATTTTGTCTTACCTCTTTCTTCTTTGTTTGTCTATTTCTTAATTGCATTATTTTGTACCCTCACCCTCTATTAAATCTCTACGCTCCTGACGACTGTTGCTAACTCGATTTTCGTTTATTTTTAAGTGAATTCTACTCAGCTTATTAACTTAACTCTCATTCATTTTTTCATTGAACCCTACCAATTAGATTACGTCACCCAACCTACTTTTGTAACTTTATTTTAGTTTCTAACCGATTAACGCCTTCAAAATTACGTAATTTGTTTGTCAAAAACTAACAATTGCATTAACACATCTTTGGAAATATTCCTTTTGTTGCCAAGACAAATTACTATAAATTTGCGATTTGTACAGCTTGAGAATGATATCGCCGAAAAGAGTAACTCTTTGCTGAACACTTTTTCTTTTCTATGACTGAATGGGAATTTTCAAGCTACTGAAACGTTGCAAGGACCCAGTGACGGTGAAGGAGCTGGACCGTTTCCTGCGTTACTCCGTCAAGCTTGCAGTAGCGAAGGCAGAGATTCAGTTCTTGAGAGAATGTTTAGATCGGCACGAATATCCAAAGATGTACTGGAAGTCCCTCAGACGAAACCACATCCATCCGAATACCAGAACGCTCAGGCGACACACACTAAACAACATTGACTCCATCCAATCACGTATCCCTGAACTAGAACGAAATGTTGACTTACGAGCTCACGCAGTTCACGATTTAGACCAAGAACTACGCCAATCGTTCGAAGAATATGTCGAAGAAGTTGCACAGAAACAATGTGAGAATGCCAAGTCAAACCTTATTAAAAGCCTGAAGCCGACGAGTGACCCTGAACGTCCATTCCCAAGCAATCCAGAAAAATACGTATTTAACCTGTCAAACATTGAGCTGTCAGAACTTCAACTAGAAGCACTGTCCCTCGGTCCAAAGTTCTGCACAAAACCATCAAAAATCCAAAAACTTCAATCCCAAGTCCAGTTCGAAAACCTGATAAACCAAACACATGATCTATCACCAACTTCCGAAGAGAACCTGCAACAGTTCAGGTCGGTAGTACTCGACAGTTGCCATAAATTTATGAATACCAAACCAAATGGAAAGTCAATACTGACCAAAAAACACTATAAAGAGCTCAAGGAATTAATAAACAACAAAGAGATTATTCTGTTACGCCCGGATAAAGGTGGGGGAATCGTAGTCATGAATCGTGAAGACTACGTAAGTAAAATGCTGACCATCCTATCCGACGAATCTAAATTCATAAAACCAGCAAAGGAAAAGAACATGACGGAACAAACTGAACAAAAACTAACGAACCTTCTCCGAAAACTAAAGACTGAATCATTCATCGATCTCGAAACCTTCGAATCGTTGAAACCGTCGGGCTCAAATATACCCCGGCTATATGGACTACCAAAAGTGCACAAGAAAAACGTACCTCTTCGACCCATTCTCGATATGACTAATTCACCTTATCACAGTACCGCACAATGGCTAGTAAACATACTAGAACCAGTCAGAAAGCAAATCTCCCGCCACTCACTTCGAGACTCCTTCGATTTTGTCAATTCCATTGAAAACGTCAGCGTTTCCAATCAAACCATGTTCTCACTAGATGTGGTATCACTGTTTACAAACGTCCCACTAACCGAAACAATATGCTATATATGTGAATATATTGATTCAAAGGAGATGAACATTGGTATCCCCACTGACTATTTGAAGGAACTCCTATTAAGATGTACTCTAAACGTCCAATTCACTTTCAATAATGAAATATATAGACAAAAAGATGGTATAGCTATGGGCTCACCACTCGGCCCGCTGCTTGCAGATATTTTCATGTCAAAACTAGAAAATACACACCTAAAGAAGATAATAGATAACTTCGGATTCTACAAGAGATACGTGGACGATACTTTTATTATCGCCAATAATGAGGAAAATTTGGAGAACATATTGGACTTCTTCAACAGTTGCCATCCAGCAATCCAGTTCACACTAGAGAAGGAGTCCAACGCAACAATATCTTTTCTGGACGTGCAACTAGCAAGACGCGAACAAGATGGGACACTCAAAAGATCCATTCACAGAAAACCGACATGGAATGGACAACTCATCAGCTTTCACAGTTGGGTGCCTATATATACAAAACGAAATCTGATCCGCTCACTGACTCACAGAATCCACAACATTTGCAGTCCGGAAACTATAGAAGAAGAGCTGAAGACCCTGAAAAGAATCCTTCTTGAAAACGGTTACCCGGAACGTTTCATCACAAAAGCTATGAAGCCGAAAACACAAAAACCATCCATGCTTACTGCTCCCAAGAAACTTCTCTATTTGAATCTACAATTCAACGGAGATTCTTCAGCAGAAATACTTAGAAACCGCCTGTGCCGTTCACTGAAGAAAACCTTCTTCGCAGCGGAACTCAGACTAACTTTCTCTACGAAACCAATGATTCGCACGAACGTGAAGGATAAGCTTCCACTGGGGGCCTCATCAATGTGCATCTACCAATTCACCTGCTCATGTGGAGCTAGGTATGTCGGCCGTACCCAGCGTTTGCTATCCAAACGAATCAGCGAACACTTACCTTCATGGTTTTATAAAGGAGAAAGAAGATCCCCCCGCCACAGCTCTATCCTAGAACACTTGATCGAATCCGGACACCAAGCAAACCCACAAAACAACTTCTCAGTTATCTACACAATACGTGGAAATCTTGCCAAAAGAGTACGAATTAAACTTCTTCAAACTGCAGAAGCAATGGCAATTCACATATTGAATCCTGAACTCTGCATACAAAAGAAGTTTGTTCAGTCACTAAATCTACAATGGTCCTGATCTATCTTAACACCAAATACGTAATTTTGTCTTACCTCTTTCTTCTTTGTTTGTCTATTTCTTAATTGCATTATTTTCTACCCCCACCCTCTATTAAATCTCTACGCTCATGACGACTGTTGCTAACTCGATTTTCGTTTATTTTTAAGTGAATTCTACTCAGCTTATTAACTTAACTCTCATTCATTTTCAAGTGAATTCTACTCAGATTATTAACTTGACTCTCATTCATTTTTTCATTGAACCCTACCAATTAGATTACGTCACCCAACCTACTTTTGTAACTTTATTTTAGTTTCTAACCGATTAACGCCTTCAAAATTACGTAATTTGTTTGTCAAAAACTAACAATTGCATTAACACATCTTTGGAAATATTCCTTTTGTTGCCAAGACAAATTACTATAAATTTGCGATTTGTACAGCTTGAGAATGATATCGCCGAAAAGAGTAACTCTTTGCTGAACACTTTTTCTTTTCTATGACTTACATATTTCTTATAAAATTTGTTTAGATAATTCTAGTATTTCTTATCCTTTGATTTCACTGGTAACGGAATTCTTTTAACATCTCGGGGATCGACATTGCGTCATGCCTATTGCACGTGTTAAATGTAGATTCGATTAGGCAAAGATTTAGTGATCAACCACTCTATCTATCTCTACATTACCTTTCAGAAGTGAAGATTTGTTACATCTTATTAGGTGACTGTCTGTTAGTATATGCAATGCGATTGATTCTATAACCTTTTCATCTTCCAGTGGCCAAGAAATAATACTGTATCACTGTATGATTTTATCGAATAGAATTATCCTATAATGTAACTGGATGGCATAGCGTGATATAGTTGACTATTGAATCATTAATGAGAGTGAAATGAGTTCACAATACACTAAGGAAAAACACAGATTCATTTGATGATAAAAGAGCTGGTATGGGTTTTCAGTTTAAGATTAAAACATGGTAACCATAAGAAGTACAGGAGATTGGAATATTTGAATAAATATCAAGTGATATTCACTGAGCAAGAGATCGCGTAGCCGCCCAGTAACCTAGGGGATAAAACTTTGGCATTTGACACAACGATGAGTAAGGCGTTTAAGTGTCACTCAGTAGGATGTAGGTATATCCAGTTA